CGGCAGAAGAAGCTGCCGCAGCTCTTCGAGAGGGCTTCTTCCAAGTGGTGGAACCCCAAGTTCGACTCCAACAACCTGGAGGAGGCTTGCATGGAGAGATGCTTCCCGCAGACTCAGCGCAGGTTTCGCTATGCCCTCTTCTACATCGGTGTGGCCTGCCTTCTGTGGGGCATCTACTTCGGCATACACATGAGAGAGAAACAGATTGTTTTCATGGTGCCGGCTCTGTGCTTCCTCTTGGTATGTGTAGCTTTTTTTGTGTTCACTTTCACTAAGACTTACGCCCGCCATTACGTATGGACTTCACTGATACTCACCCTCCTGGTTTTTGCTTTGACTCTCGCTCCGCAGTTCCAGGCTCTGAAACCTATCTCAGGAAGTGGTGACATGTCCAATCAGACTTCCCCGGCAGATCCCACAGACACTTGTCTCTCTCAAGTAGGCAGTTTTTCTATGTGTATTGAAGTGCTGTTGTTGCTTTACACGGTGATGCACTTACCCTTGTATTTAAGCTTATTTCTGGGACTGTCGTACTCGGTCCTCTTTGAGACCTTTGGTTATCACTTCCGCGATGAGAACTGTTTTACACCTCTCGGAGCCGGTGCGGTGTACTGGGAGCTGTTGGCTAAAGCCTTCCTGCACATCTGCATCCATGCCATCGGTATTCATTTATTTATCATGTCCGAAGTCAGATCGAGAAGCACATTCCTGAAAGTGGGGCAGTCCATCATGCATGGAAAAGACTTGGAAGTGGAAAAAGCCCTGAAAGAGAGGATGATTCATTCTGTTATGCCAAGAATAATAGCCGATGACTTAATGAAGCAGGGGGATGATGAAAGTGAAAACTCCGTCAAACGTCATTCCACCTCAAGCCCCAAAAACAGGAAGAAGAAGCCCTCCATACAGAAAACCCCCATAATATTCCGTCCTTTTAAAATGCAGCAGATAGAGCAAGTGAGCATTTTGTTCGCGGATATTGTTGGCTTCACGAAAATGAGTGCCAATAAATCTGCCCATGCTCTGGTGGGACTCCTGAACGACCTCTTTGGACGTTTCGACCGTCTGTGCGAGGACACTAAATGCGAGAAGATAAGCACTTTGGGAGACTGTTATTACTGCGTAGCCGGCTGCCCAGAGCCCCGGGCAGATCACGCTTACTGCTGCATCGAGATGGGCTTAGGTATGATTAAAGCCATTGAGCAGTTTTGCCAAGAGAAAAAAGAGATGGTGAACATGAGAGTCGGTGTTCATACCGGGACAGTCCTGTGTGGCATTTTGGGAATGAGGAGATTCAAGTTCGATGTGTGGTCCAATGATGTCAATTTGGCCAATCTGATGGAGCAGCTCGGGGTGGCTGGAAAAGTCCATATTTCGGAAGCTACTGCGAAATACTTGGATGATCGTTATGAAATGGAGGATGGAAAGGTGATTGAGCGAGTTGGTCAGAGCGTGGTAGCCGACCAGTTAAAAGGTACGTGCTTTTATTTTGTGCCTAGTCTTTTTTTTTTTTTTTTCCCCCTCTTTTATGAGGGAATATATTTTCCCTAGTGCTTGTTTTGTGCTCGCTGACTTGCAAATTGAATGCATTTTACATTTAACTCCATGGGATCAGAAATACCATGGGAATTACGGAATAAAAGATGCCACGGAGATAAGCATGAAAGATCTGGGGTACTCAAAATGTACTTAGAGTTCAAAACTCCTTAGCGCTCCTTGTGAGAGTATCACATCATAGGGAGGAGAAGGTTAATGTGCTGTCTGCAAGAGGTTTTTGTTTTACTGTTGTGTGTCATCCTTGAATTCAGTAAGTAAACTTGTTAATTGACTTCATGTGCCATACATAGAGCATATGTGTTTTGCAAAATTATGTATATCTGTGAAAAGTTTTTTTTGGCATTGGGAGAGTTGGGACTGCGAAGGCATTTGGGAAAAATGACAGCTGGATTCACAGAAAGAAATGAGCACTCTAGATTTGGCAGTTTGATATTGCAAGTTGTTACAGTTTGAAGTTAGGCTGGAAAAAGTTACTCAGGTGGTTCAGTGAGCTGGCAGATGCTCTCGTTTCTGCAGTTCTAAGGATTTGGGGATGAAACTGCAATTTGCCTTTCGGAAAAGAAAATGAGGGAACCTTTGGTTCCCCTTATGGCTTGGCTAAGGGTCCGATTTTCATTTTTCGACAGAGTATTCATTTTGAAATGAAACCCTTGACTGCTTTCTAGCAGCACTTAGAAGCGTGTGCAGGGGGACTGTACATGTGGAGGGTTAATTGTCTCTTCAGTAAAAGCCGTGTCTCTTTAGCGCTGTGCCTTTGTCTCGTGGAGGTATGATTGTCTGCAGTGCTTGTGGTCCAAGGTGGGGAGCAGACAAATCAAACCGGGAGTGGAATATGTTGCAGAACCTTTTCTGCTGTGTGAGTTTATTTGTTCCGTTTATAAACGTACCCATTTTTATAAAGTAAGTGTGGAAAACAGAGTGGAAGAAACTGAAAGAGTCATAGGATGGCATTGTGATGGAGGAAGGAGATATTTGTTGCAACAAATACAAAACGAGGCCGGGATGGTTGTAGAAAGGTCAGTGAGTAAGGACAGTGGGGAGAGTATTGCAAAACAGTGGTGGAAGCGGTAATGGCAGGCTGCTCGCCTGTGGCAGGTGTTTATTTTGGTGTGACACAAATACTTATTTTTGGTGAGCTAGCTGTCTGCATGCATATGGCAACAGGGCTGAAATGAGAGGCTTACCGGGGGAAAAAAATATCAACAGTGACATTGGTGGCTGGAAGCCATAGAACTGAAGCAGATGTGTGTCCCTGGGCTATGGCTTTCTGTTTAGCCTCTAAAAATACAAATTCAGTTCATTTCTTTGAAAGCTATTGACACTGATGTGTTTTGGTGGAAGCGTGCTTTCAAGAAAAAAGGATCAGACATAGTCTCTCTGTTACTCTCAGCTGAATCTTGCTCTTCTGGTGAAAATAAATTGAATAGGTTGCAGAGAAACAACCCTGCGATAGTCCCCTCTTCCATCTACCTTTACAGCCAGATGCAGTAACAAGGCCGTGTTGTAGCCTCAAATGAAATTAAGTAGTTTTGCTAAGTGTGTAACCGTGCTCGATAGCATTAATCACAAAATGACATGAACTCACTTGCGGAGACTGATGGTACTGCTCTTAAATGTTTTTATTTATTTGTTTATATTTTCTAGGAGATCACAAGAGCACTGTGCAGAGCAATTACACCCCATAGTGGTTTTTTCATGGTCTTTCTCAGACTTCTGTTCTGTCCTTGGTTACGTTTATCATGAGAGGGCATAGGCTGCTGCGTCTCGCCAGTACAGTGGTTCGAATTTTGCAGCTTTGAACGCCTTTCACAGGTCCTGCTTTAGCCAGGGCGCTACAGATGAACTAACTGAAATGCAGTCTAGATAAGATGAAGTATACTTTGTGGACTGATACTTTAATGATCTCTTCTTACCCTGAAACCTAGCTATGAAAGCAACTGGAGCATGTGGTAAGAATTACTTTAATGAGGAATATGGGTTGGGTTGGGATTTTTTCCCCTTTCTCTTCTGTATTTTGTTGTGGAACTGTAATTAGCTTCCATTTCTTACCGATGTCGTCTTACATAGTTACAGAAATCAGAGTCTGTGTGTACCTTTAAACCAAGCAGAGCTCTGCCCTGACCGCCTTTATCCGCAGGTCTGTGGCACACGTAGTGCCCGGTCTCTCAGGGGCACATGGTGGGTGCTACAGAGTTGCCCGTTTTTTCCTGTGCCCTCAGTACTTTGTTCCGCAGTCAGATTACCTGGCTGATAGGTAAATGGCATCAGGATGGGGAATTAAAAAAAAGGCAACGATAAAAGCAATCTAAGAGCAGCGCCACAGGCTAGCATCTAGAACCTGCTGCAGGGAAGGGCTTTGTTAAGGAGGAGCTCTGAGATTTAATAAACTGAGATTTCACCTCTTAATTAATTGTCCTCTGCCAAGCACCTGCTCCGTTTTGTGAATGAAGGTGCTGTTAGGAAGCTTTGCTTTACTATTTTCCCTGAGACTTCATTGATAGTAGTGATAGAGAAGAGGAAGTTTGTTGTGGTTGTTTAATTACGTCATACATCATACTCTTTTCAAATATGAAAATGCTGTGGAGATAACGGACATAAGCTTTGTTTCCCTACCGGTACTTCACTTCTCAGCTTCCTTTCAACCTTTAGTATCTTAATGATACCCTGGGTTTTTTTATGTTGTACGTCTAGTATATTATCTCTTAATTGTCTGAGCTGCCGCAGTAGTTGTAGCTATCTTTCTGAGGCTAAGTCAACATGATCAAGTAAACTCTTTACAGAGCAAAATGGGAGGTGCTGAGAACTTGGCATCCACATTAGATGCATTTCAGGACTTCTGCCTAAAACTAGTTCTGGACTGGGTCTTTGGACAGAAGTACCTCTGTGGTAGGAGCACACTTGGTCTGCAAATCTGGAGCAAATCTTTTTGGCTCCGTTCACCCTGAAGGAATCGAGGCACAACTCTACAGTGTGCACCAAAGCAGGGTACGTAGGAGTGAATTGGGCAAACTGCTTCAAAACCGTGCTCCCTGTTCCATTTGAAGTACTAATGTAGATGTACCCCGAGTTGTCCTAGTGCCGCTCTCCTTTGGAACAGACGAGGCAAAACTAAATTTCTCTTGCCCTGTGCCGTTTTGTGGTTCACTGAAATCTTAGGATGGAAATACCTTTTCTTCCTCCTTTGCTTCCTTGGCTCCTTATTGCAAGAAGCGAGGCCCCAGTATGTTCCCTCCTGTTTCTGACTTCTGAATTAAGTAGGTAGTGTCTAAAACAAACCAACAGAGAGCAAGCCATTGATGACCTTACCCTGTTTTTGTCTGGCTGCTGTTTGTTTTAAGATTGCCTAGGCCATCTGTTTTCACAGCACCTGATCCCCTTGGATGTGAGGGGAGCGCCGGAGAGCAACGTTGTGGTGATTTTTTTGAGGTCCACAGATAAACCCTAGACATCAGTTCAATTATATCTTCCCTAATAATTTTGCCATAGGATTTGAGACAATTCACTTTTTCTGTTTTCTTGCTGAGCTTCCTAGCAAATAAGTTTATTGAAGACTGTGAGATACTGAGAGTCACATAATACATGTTAATGTGTCCCTTCTGAACTCTGGAGCCAGAGATCTCAGGATATAAAAAGTCCTACTTAGGGAAATATTTTTGTTTTGCCCCATTCTTCTTGGTTGTTTGCATTTCTCTTTCTTGTTACTTAGGAGGTCACAATATTGCTATTTTCTAGCCAGCCAGTAACTCTTCCAGAAATACCGGGGTCACTGGCATCTTTTTTCTGAGTGCTCAAAATACGTAAGCATGTTGTGGCAAGAATGCTTTCTCTGTGTTCATAGAGCATAGCACAGTGGAACCATGATTTCATTTGGGGCATTTGTATGTATGCTGATACTCTAAGAAGAGTCGCTGTTACTGAAGTTCCTGTTAAGGTAATTCCCGAGCTTTCTGCAGCAAGACACCTCCTTGTTCGGTTTGCTGAACAGGAATAACTTTATTGCTGAATTTCTGTTAGAAGCCCTTGAAGATACAGACACGCTTTTTTCTCCAATTTTGTCGTTTGCTTCATCACGGAAAAAACCGTAAGTGGATCTTGTGCACTCTGTCACCTGGCTAACCAAACCGAGTTGTCGATGGCTTCGGAGGGAAGGTCAGCTTTCACAGCACTTACTGGGTGAAAATCCACCAGTTCACCTCTGGCTACTGGTAGCCGTTCCTGATAAAGAATATCAAAGAGCTCTAGCTTACTGTATTGTCTTTCACTGCTCTCTGTTTCTTTTAATACCTGCTTTACTTTAAACTTTTTTTAATAAAGCAAATCGGTTATAAAAGTCACAGTTTTGCTCTATACTGAAACCTTTTAGTGTAATTTAAGGCTATTATTTCCACATAAGGAGCCTAGCTCTTTACATGGTGGCAACCTGCAACCCATGGGATGCTTTTCCCTTGGCAGACCATGGGATACAGCTTTGGTCGGTGACTTGATACTCTGCTGCTTCTTCAGGTTTGGGTTACAGGGAAGACAGGGTGGGTGTTCCTGAAAGACAAAAGTCTTGGATAAGACAAACATCTCTGATAAAGTTATGAAGAGGTAAGTAATTGAATTTTTCTTCCCTTCCTCCCCTCTGTGGCCGATCGGGGGAGACCACAATCACACCCCGACGGCAGTGAAGTCTTCCCTGCCTGCCCTGGCTTTTTAGCAGACCTGCACACAGAGGACCCGTAGCTGTCATCTACTTCTGGAAGTTCATAGGTAGATGAAAGATAAGATGAAAGTTTTCCTTAGCTTTTTAAGCCCAGCCTGCTGGGCATAGTGTAAATGTAGAAGGCTTGTGCTTGTGCCAGCAGGACAGCTCTGCAGTGAGCTCTGCACACATTTAGCTTTGCTCTGTGGCTTGACTAAGAGCAGCTTTAGTGTCTAACTAGTGCGTGTTTTTGGGGTGAGTG